CCCTGGTAAAACCAGCTTACTAGAGTTTGCTCTGTTTATAAAATTCATTATATCTCATAAACGAAGACAGACAGGACATATATTTATATGACTTTTTTCCATTGTTTTCAGGCGTACAATCAGCTCCCGAAAGTGAGTCCCACCCACTGTATATAATGTGTTTTTTCTTCAAGCACCGAGTGTATCGAGTGTACTAATTGCGTTTCACGATACATCCTCTCTCTCTTTCTCTCTCTCTCTCTCTCTAGTCCCTTAAAAGGATTTCAAGTACGAAAATCGTTCGTATCAACAGAGTGAATCTTATCGATGGCTGCTAATTAGAAGTAGGGCGCAACAAACAGGAGAAGGGAAAAAAGCAAATGCTGCTGGCTGGTTGTGGCCGGAAGGTGGTGGAAGGTGGTGGAAATGTAATTGCGATTGGATATCCAGCACATTCAGATCGATCGAGGTTGCAGTTCGTAAACTAACCGGCGCACCAGGTTCCAGGTTACTGGGTCAACCTTTCCATCGATCCAGCCCCACCATTGAAAATTCAGTTTGCTTCACGGGTATGCCCGTCGTCCTCGCGCGCTGAAACTCTGGACTCTCCTCTTCATCCTATATTCGGCCGCGGCCGGATGCCTCTCCTTTCTTCTTCTGCATTTACCCGTGCCCGATACTAATTATTTACGAGCCGCCCCATTCGCGGCGAAGTCCACCCTCGGCGGTTATTTTCGTACCGGCCGCCACCGGCTGCAAATTTGGCCGGCTATTTGCGTTTCCCTCTCCCGCGAAAACGTTCGCCCGAAGGTTGCCGCCGACACACGCGACACACTTTGCCTTTTCAATTTTAAACGCGCGCGCCCGCGCGCCAGACTTTCTAATTTTCCCACCTTTTCCTAGCTCCTCGGGTCGGAGAGTTCTTTCCTCAATGTCTCTTGAATTCGAGTGTCCCGAGACTTCAGTTTGAATGGAGGAATGTTGGTGTCTTTAGAGAAAATCCTCGGAAAGAAAGGGAAGAGACAAACAACACCGATAGGCGAAATCGTAGCTGCGTCAGATCAATTTTCAGTTGCAGTCAGAGTGGTCGGTGTAATTCGATGTAATCGATTATCGCCCGCGTTGTTGCAAATCAGTTTTCTTCAACATCTTCGTTAAACAGATTGGATCATGAGATGATGGATACTTACCGATTTAATCTCTTTCCACGCACGTCGAGTACTTTTCGTCCCAAATTGCAACAGTTTTCTCGGTTTTAAGTGTATTTAAATGTAATCCAGGCGAAACAAGTGACAAGTTTGTTAGTTCTTAACAATTTCTATCCAGTGATATCATACCGGCGTGTTCAAAAGAAAAAGAAAGCGACGAATTATCGTATTACGGTTCGGTCACTCGTTATGGTCCGCGAACCAGTTGCCAGGGCAAGTGGCTAATCTCTTGCCACTCACGTCGAGAATTTTTTTCGTCCCAAAATTGCAACATTTCCTCAGTTTTCAGTATATTTAAGTATAACCC